TAGAGGATTAGGGAGACGGGTGAAAGCCCAGGGGAGCGTGAGCTGGAGCTCAGATGCAGGCCTTCTCTGTCCAAGACTGTGACTCTCCACCCCGCACCTCCCCAGCCTGGACCCTGAGCTCCGCCTGGCAGGCAGCCCACGTTGTCGCCCAAGGTACCAGGTGGCTAGTGCGGTCCCTGTCAGGGCAAGGGCTCACAGGGCTGCTGAGCGAACGCGTGGGGGAATGAAGGCCCCAGGCCACCCCCTCCTTCCAGAAACCACCCCGAGGTGCTTTCTTCTAGTCAGGGCTCTATCTCAGAGCCCAGGATGGAGGAGGAAAAAGGGCCAGGGCAAGAGGAAGAACAGTATACACAGCAGCACCTCCTGACTATAGCATTTTACAGTTTTGTGTTGCTGTTTTGTAAGAATTTACTTGAGCCTTAGCTGGCTTGGCTCAGTGGATAGAGCGTCGGCCTGCGGATTGAAGGGTCCCGGGTTTGATTCCAGTCAAGGGCATATGCCTGGGTTGTGGGCTTGATCCCCAGTAGGGGGTGTGCAGGAGGCAGCTGATCAATGACTCTCTCTCATCATTGATGTTTATATCTCTCTCCCTCTCTCTCTAAAAAATCAATAAAAACTTCTTTAAACAAAAGTACAGTGCTCGGTAGCCACATGGGGCTGGTGGCCACCGTACTGGACAGTGCGGCCGGAGAGCGTTCCCATCGGGGCAGAAAGTTCTGTGGGACACACTGATTTATGACACAAGCAAGCAAAGGGAAGGGGAAAAACACCTGCAATTCCATTTCCCAAAGAAAACGACTGCTAACATTTTGGCGTGGATATTTCCAGTGTTTCCTATGGGCGGGCATTATATATTGTTGTTTCCTTTCTTTTCCTTTTTTCAAAAATGGCTTAATCCTGTACAAACTGTTTTATGGCCTGTTTTTTCACTTATCAAAGGACTATAACATCTTTTCTATAACACTTATTTTTTAAAACAGTAGCCCAGTATTTGTATGACTACCACAACTCATGTATCCAATTCTCTATTCATAGGTATTTGTGTCAGCTTCCCTTTAAAAAAACAACTATCTGGGTACTTTTTAAAGATTTATTTAGCCCTAGCCAGTTTGGATCAGTGGATAGAGCATCGGCCTGTGGACCAAAGGGTCCCAGGTTTGATTCTGGTCAAGGGGCGTGTGCAGGAGGCAACGTATCGATGTGTTTCTCTCACATCGATGTTTCTCTCTGTCTTTCCCTCTCTTTTCCACTCTCTCTCAAAATCAATGGAAAAATATCCATGGGTAAGGATTAAGTAAATAAATAATTTAAACATTTTGTGTGACAAGAGCTGTATTTTATTTTGAAATCCACGTCATTATTTTTTTGTCAAAGCAGTAGATGCTCATTGGAGAAAATTAAAGAAAATACATAAAGTGTAAAGAAGAAAAAGTCCTCAAATCATTCTACCCCAAAATAACCACATTTTCTTTCCACTTTTTAATTGTAAGGTATTTTTCCCAAACACACGGGAAGGTTAAAGACTAGCACAATAAACACTCATACACCCACCACCTCGAGTCAACAATTGAAACCACCACATTTTAAACATGTTGGCATCCTCTTTCTAAACATCTTCCTGGATCTAAACACATACAGATATGTAAATATAAGAACGACGTCACGCTTTACTTGTTGTTCGGCAATTTTAAAACTTTTTCATTTTTAATAATACATCACAAATATCTTCTCATGTTTCACTAAACGTTTTTCCACAGCGTCATGTTCAATGTCCACTTAGGTTCCATTGTATGGAGCTATGACAATTTTCATCACCAACCCCCTGTGGTTGGGCATTGATGTTTCCAACTTTTCACTATCCTATATAATAAAAGCCCAGCAACCAT